GATCGCCTCCTAGATCGCGACCATTCCCTTTAGGGGATTCCGAACTGTATATGTTCTATACTGGTAGATGTCCATGCTAAGTGCGTATTGGTCCACTGTCTTCTGTATCTCATCTTAGGTGGCCACTGACAAAATCTCTTGCACGGGACCCGATGGGGCATTCAGTGCCTACAAGCTCATCCCCTCGATTGTTTTGGTCGCTGATGTATCCATTGCTCCTAAGGTCTGAAAAGGGGGCGACACATAGAGATAACTAAGTCTTCGTACAGTATTCCGTACGATGATTTGGAAGAGCAAAAAAACCCTATTGTACCTTCCTTAAACCCTAGAAAAACCCTAAAAACCCCTAAGGATTTGTGCCCTAAATTTTCACTCTTTATGACAGAAAAAGCATTCTTCTCACCACTGCCTAGAAATACACACCGCAAAAGTTTACCAGACAAGTTGATACCCACCATTATCGTCAAGTCAAGCTATTAACAAAATAATAAAAGAAAGCGAAGGAGAAATCTTTCTTACCTTTTGGCTGTAGGGAATGAACTTCCTATCGTAGTGAAGGGTGCGCATCAACTGGAAAAATGGGAGACCGATTTTGCAAGAGCTTTGTTCTTTCTCTGAAAGTATGATTTTTGTGACAAAGCTTGAGGCGAGCCTGGGGTTTTATAGGGGGAAGAAGCGACGATTGATTTCCCTAGGCAAGCGATGCTTGGGCAGGATACGTTTCTCACCATTGATTTGTTAGGAAATGATCAAAACCCATGGCAGCGGAAAACAAAAATAAAATAGTGATCGATTCCATTTTAAGCCAAGATTAGGATACATATATTACAAATAATATGTTAAATAAAATATTCTGTAGTAATATGAATGATCAGAGTAAAGATTAGAGTTCATACGCTCGTTTGGAGACTCCTTCGAACTTGTCTCTGACTGGGTTCGCTACCGATTTAAAGTAGAATCGAATTAGCGGTAGTCCACACGAAAATAACCCGGAGAGCTAAAGAGGGATTTGTTAGATCTTCTTTAGCCTCAAGAATCAAATAAATTTGATTCAATCAAAATAAAGTGGCATGGGGTAGAGAGAAAGGAGCCGGAGCTTTTCAATCAATGAATATAAAATGACTTAATGAAAAGTGTTTTTTTTTTTTTTTTAATTCATAGAACACATGCACTTATATAGTGCATGTGAAACCCTATTCCAATTAGGAATAGGCTTAGGCACCAACTCAAACAACCCATATGTCCAAACAGCCCCATTTAGATATTTTTATTTTAGTTATTATTATTTCAATTAATATACATAAAAATATATTAACATTTAACAATAACAATAATTCATTTAAATATATGCGTACACATATCTAAATATAATCTCACTTATTTAATTTTAATATCAAATTAAATAAAGGCAACAACCTCAACAAATTTAATTGCACTGTGAGATTACTAAAATATCTTTTCGCCTAAAAAGACGAAAACGCCTTTTACACAAACTGATTCTTAAATTATCTTCTATGTGTGTGACCCGTAGGCTCCTCATCATATCGGCAGTGTGTAGTATCGCGATTAATACCAATTAATCGTCTCACTACACATAGACCAAGATTGGCCCCTAACAAGGCATCATGGCCACCCGATAGATTCGAATTCAGCGAAGTAGCTACCTATCAACGATATGGTTACTGTACAATTTAATCCTTTCATCATCTGTTATCTCTTCGAGACAGAGGCACGGAAATAGTGTCAACCTTAGTTACTCTTGATATGTATGTATTAAGTTACTGGACCAATGATCGGAATTATAAACTAGATTGAGCAATAACTCAATCCCACTATAGCCACAGTTTTAGTGTCATTGTCATTTACTGAATTGCGTCGTGAGATAACTTATCTAGTACCCGAGAGTGATGAATCCTCTATCAATCCACCATAGTCTTGATACACTCTTTGATGCAGCTAATCACTACCGTATTGACAGCTCTGAAAAGAACTGTGTTTGGCTAGTGTCAAACTACACTAATCGGTGCACAATGCGCTCTAGTGATCTCAAGTCTAAGGATCACATACATTACCATTCGTTAGAGGATTTGTTTCATATTCACTGGGGTTACCATCCATATGGAATTCTCTAGTGGGTCAGTCTAGTGAACTTGCCTACAACAAGCAACCATTGTTGCACCAGGTTTTCACCAAACAACATTGACAAGTGAGATCAGTCACTACCTTTCGACAAGGTCGTTCAACACTATGATAGGCTTACCGTATTATCCGTGCCCTTACTTCAGAACAATATTGGGGCTACGGACGTTTCTAGAATGGCCACCATATGAGCTCATAGGGTTCTCACTATCAAGATTTGAAACACTTGATACCCTTATCACGGTTCTACCATTATAAGAACATATATCAATACATACAATATGATTTACGTGATATAGAATAAAATGTCTTTCTATTGATCAATGAACATTATTACAAAGAGTCAATTCTACAATAATCGATTGGCTCTAAGGCACCTACTCTAACATGATTGCGACCACATGTCATTAATCCGTGAGAAGAAGTAACCACCACGCTTCGAGAGTGCCAATCAACGCTTCCCTCCATTGGAGCAACTAAGCGACGGCTCGATTATCTCCTCCACATTAAATACGCCCTCATCCGCATTTAATGGTCTAAAAGAGAATGTCGTTTCAGCATGGCTTGCATTTAATGCGCATGGCCGGCACTTATTATGCACTAGACACGTATGTCAAAATAAAGATTATTTTATTGACCAGATTAGTTGTCAAGCGCAACAGATAACATCTGAAGAGGTCGTTTGACAAAACACTCTTCGTCGTGTATCGGTTTCGAGACGATGTGATTCCTTGCTCTTGGTAAAAATGTGCTAAGTATTCTCAGGTCGCGAACTGTGAATGAGATTTGAAACATGTCGGTACGACATTAAGTGGGGCCTGATCCAGGTCGTTGAACCTGTCAGAGAAAGCCATCTCAGTTCGCTTGTGCTATTCTTAAAGGAGTATGTTGCGACCTCCTTGTAGCTCGATCAGCTCAACCAAACGTCATTCGAGACAAGTCAAGTCACGGCATAATCATGAAGTTCTTAAGGTTCAATCTTTAAACCTTAAAAACTGGGGGACTTCTGTTATGCCTAAAAAGTTAAGGCTGACGTGGACTCTCGTCAGCAAGAGCCAATCAGGATTTAGGAAGGTTTTGTGCCGTCCAGACGTTGTCATGTTGCGTAGTGACGAAAGAGGTATGGTTCTTGTCAGTGCAGCAGGTGAACGCCAAGCTTGCGAGTGGCCAGGGATCGTTCACCTGCCCAAGCCCTATGCAATTTGAGGATATTTCTCATGTAGATAACTAATGGGATGCAAGGAATGACTTACACGACACCTACCTACTTGCAGACCTGTAATCATTACCTTGAATTCTCCCACTATAAATAGAGGACTCCCCTCTCATTTATAGGATTGGCTTATCTTAGTCTAAAATAGCATACACACTCTCTCTCTGTGTATTATCTCTAAATTGTAACTCAGCTCGCTATATGCGATCTAACTGTATCCATCTATTAATACAATAACAGTAGATGTGGGATTCGCTTTTGAGCATTTGAACCATTTTAAAAACCGCTTCTCATTTATTCTCTCATTTCATGTTTAGGTATCACGTGTAATTTCTAAATCGGTTTAGCACTTTACAGGTATGAGTTATCGGTGTCAAAATAAAGCCTAACATATTTAATAACAATTGTAGTTTAGCATTAAATATACTTGTTCGTACTTAGTTTACAGTTGTTTAACATTTCTTTAATAATTTATGAAAAAGACAAATTTTGATCAATTATTTAAACAAAGTGGATTTGTCTGTATTGTATTCTACAAATAATTCGACCCTTTAAGAAAGCATTTGATTGAGATCAACAAAGAAATGGCGAAACCATTGCTTGCACTGTTGGTTCTAGCCCTGTTCCTCCCCTCAGTTTATGGCGTTGTCCCAGTGGGAAGCCCGACCAGCAGCAACTCAGGCACCGGTGTTCCAGACGTCGCAGTAACAAGTGTAGCCAAGGAGTTCCTTGAACCTCACAACCAAGCAAGAGCTGCAGTTGGAGTTGGTGCTCTCAAGTGGAGTGAAAATCTAGCCAATGCCTCTGGCCGCCTTGTTAGATACCAAAGAAACAAAATGGGGTGCCAATTTGCTAACCTGACGAATGGCAAATACGGTGCAAACCAATTCTGGGCAAGCGGCACGACGGCGACGCCACGCATGGCGGTTGACACTTGGGTCAAGGAGAAAAACTACTACAATCATGCTAATAACTCATGTGCACCAAATCACATGTGCGGTGTTTACACACAAGTGGTATGGAGGAAATCTCTGGAGCTGGGGTGTGCTCAAGCTACTTGTGCTAAGGAGCAGGTTACTTTAACCATATGTTTTTATAATCCTCCTGGAAATTATGAGGGAGAAAGCCCGTATTAGATAAATTAACTTGTAGTGTAGCCTGGTCTCGTTTTCTGTATGCAAAGTTTAGGGTCCAAATTCTGTCTCTTTTGTTTAAGAGAGAATCAGGGTTCAGGAATAGCAGTTTAGTGCTCAATAATTTTGATTCAACCATTCAAACCTGAGCTCTGCTTTGATATTAGAATTTGGATATTATCATGTTTTATCAATAAAAGAAGGGCTTCTGTAGATTAACATGATGGCAATTATTTTTACCTAGAACAAAATAATAGTGTGTATATTTACGCTCACTCCACCGACAGAATGACGGATGTGAATACAGAGCAGGATGGATGCCCCGTCTCACAGGGCAAAGGTCAATTATTGTAGTGTAATCTAGATTATCAGAAACCCTAAACAATAATTGACCTGCAAGTTGTGTTTCCAACCTTGACAGGAACATTTATCCTGTTCGATTTCATATTATCAAGTTAATTTTTCTTTGCAAGTTAAATAATTAATGGAATTCTTTCACAAAACTATAGATTTCATAGATACTTCATCTCGTAACATGCCAGAATGGTGATAACATTACATAAATACAAAATGCCTAATGTTCTAACCGGCCTACCAATTCCAGCTTCATATTCTACTTTGTACAGAGGAAAAAAAAAAGAGTCAAATCTTCCTATATAGAAATCTTGATCAAAATATGGAATAGTGAGCTCAAGAACACAATCACCTCAGCAGCTCTTTAGATATAAGATACCGAAAAGTAAAATTGTGAGGAATCCATTCAATGCTCTTGCGGGATTTACTTGCCTGACATTTCTTTATACTCTTCCTTAAAGATTCAGGCAAAGACTGTTGAACCATCTCCATGATACCAGCAGGGCATAAACTCGAATCCTTTGCATATGACTCCACAACCTTTGGTAGAAGAATTTTGTGGTCCTTGCGTACACCAAAGGTAGCCCGGATAAACTCTTCTTTTGCAGCTTCCAGTTCCTGATATACTCTCTTGGGTGTGTACACACGAACCTGAAATAAGTTTAGAAGGTTCATAAAAATTCATGTCGGGAAAGACAAACCACAGAGAAACTATATCAAGGCATTTTGATTTATAAACAAATTGAGATTTGATGTAGCTATCCCATGGCACATTTATGAACAGTTTAAATATTAGATATTAATGATATGAAAAATAAACCAAGGATATACAGTCAATTACCGCAGGATCGGAATGGTTTCCTGAGCTGAGAGCGAAGTGCAGTAGGGGTTCTGGATGTTCAATTGCATATGCTTGACGTTCATCTCCTGTCTTGAATTTTCCTCTTGACAAGAGTAATAAGCGAATCCACTACAAGCAAGAAAAAATTTTATCAGCTACACCACAAACATGATGTTGGATAAAGCTTGATAGTAACACTACAAATATCAAGTTGAATGTGGTTTGCTAAGCAAATTGGAACGGCCAGTATAACAACAGCTTTGTTTTGTCCAGAAGAGTTAAATACACTTTTCATGTGTTTCCTTCCCTCTTTTCCTTCTTGGAGTGATTTGAAGAGAGGCCGGGGAAGGAGTCATATGTTTGACCTCTTAATGAAGACAAAAGTAAAACAAAGAAAATAAGGATGGCTAAAGAAGAGAATCCTGTATATTCTCAAATAACTGTAAGACTGGAACTTTATAAAGAGAAACCAAGACTTGCTATTTACCTGTCCAGGACGACACATCCGGCATCCAAGAATAGAGGTCTGTATAGTGTCTGCACTGACCGTGTGCCCCCCAATGTTATAGGCAGCCTGGATGCTACAACCATGTAAGGAAACATATACTGGATTGTTTTATCAAGTGAAATTAGTAAGCTCTTCTTACCTTCAGTAGGAGAAAGAGCCTCTTGACATTATTTTGTGGAATCCCATAAGCCAAATACGCCTACAGAAAACAAAGAACAGTTTCATCTTCCAGCTGATGTCAGAAATACAACCATAGAATGAGTCAACAAGTAATTAATAATTTTATGGATGAGGTCCATTACATGCATCATTAATGCATTATGTATATTGATCCAGAATGCCAGCTTCTCCTCATGTTTCAACTTCCTAGGATCGACAGCTTCCAGTCGAGAAATGAGCAACCTGTAAAATGAACTAGATAAGCATAACATGATTGGAATAGAATGGAAGTACAATGTAAATATATGTTGCTCAAGGGGCATACATTACAAGTGGTATCTCAAAAATTTAATGTCATGAGGACTCACCTAAAATTTTGAAGCAAGTGTTCAACATCACCCAACTTCTGACTATCTCTATAGATCAAAGGGATTTCAATCATTGTGCTGTACGGTCCACTAAATTCCTGAAGTCCTTCTACATGAAAAGGGTTGTCTAGTCGTGCATCAAAAGTTGGATTATTTCTGAACCCAGGACTCCACATATCACACTGATCTTGAGGGGAAAATGCACTCATCGATGATAAGGATGAATTTGGAGATGAAAGACCATTATGCGTCACTGGTGGGTCAGCAAGCTTACTGTATATAGCTGACATGCACTTGATCATATCCTCAGATAGCTTGTTTGGCGTCTCTGGCACATGATCAGAAATGCGAGTTCCAAGGTGCTCAGCTAGACTGATTATATTTGGTGCACTCTGGGCATACTGTAGAAAAGCCGTTGAAAGTCATAATCCAGAGAAGGCAAAACTTTCCCATAAAAATACAAGCTGGTAAGTTTCCCTACAATCATTTGTTCTGTATCTTTGCAGTGTAAGTGGATTTTACAGAAATTGAACAGTAATTCCACAAGGTGTGAAGAAATTTTGTTCAATGAGAGGGAAGAAGGCAACATTCCCTTTGCTTTCAGGCTTATAGCAGACAATATGTTTTCAAGCTTGAACGGCTTGTAATGTGATTGGCAGTTGTGGGGAAGCTGAAGGATAAGAAAAAAAAAATACTTTACAGAGTACAAGCTAAATTTACCTCCATCATGGATAATGGTTGTGAATGGCAAGCACGTACAGCTCTACCCAAAGACTCTGCTGGAGGAGACGATCTACTTGGAAGTGCGGAACGTTGTGACAGTGAGGAGTGACATCGGTGAACACCAGAATCTAATAGCCTATCTTCTTCTTCAATAACAGTGGATTCCTTCCACTGATTGTCAACTAATTGACAACCAGATTGGATAGCAGGGGTTTCTCTTTTAGATGTGATAGCAGGCTCAGAATCTTCCACAAACCTTGGTCTCAGGGTAGCTAAAGGTGATTTTAATCTTTCATCCTTAGTAGTAGGAGATACAGATGGAATTTGTTGATCAAATGCCTTTCGATACAATGAGAGAAGGTATTGCTCCAAATATACAACTTCCAACTCTAACACAGCGATTTCCTTAATCAGTTCTGTGGCCGGCTACAGTTTTGAAGAAAAAAAAAAAAGGAAAAATTAAATATAGCCACAGGAATAACAGAGATGGGCAAGAAGTAAGTAAAAGACTTGACTTAAAGATGAATAAAAGTGACTTATATGATCCCATGACAACTGGAGAGATGAAATGGAAGTGCTAATAGTTTTTTAGCAACAGAAATGAAAGTTAGATGCAAGGTTCTTATACTTTATGGTACCAAACAAACATAGGTCAATTAAAGCATAAGTTGTGGTATAAATGTATCAAGCAAGGGTCTTCCATATCTTTAGTAAAGCTCTAGGTCTTCTAAAATGTATTAATTTTATGGGTAGGAAATGATTTATGAGAGTAGTTAAAATATGAAAACAGGTGTTGGCCCAGACTCCATGTGAATCCAATGAGACTAAACCACCAAGGCTAAGTTCTTCTACAAGAAAATATTATCAGATAGAATCTACAAAAACTAAAAGATACCTTGGGCATTGACATTTTATCTATATCACCTTGGGAAGAAGTCCTATAACCCAATGCTTGTTCCAAAGCACGGCGGACCTGAAATTGGTCTTGTAATCTTTTCTCAAGCTGTAAAATCTGCATTCAGTTATTAAAAACATATAATCAATAAAAACATACAAGTTTTGGTTTGGAGCCTGTTAGCAAGACAACACCCAGTTGAGCCAAGTTGGAGTTGCGCATTGTATATATCTGAAAGATATCAAAATGACAAGTTTAGTTCCTCACCTCTTGCTTCAAACAATTTTGCACTTCTGTGTTGGGCAACTGTTTCTTCTTGGTTTTAGAAGAGTCCATCAATTGCCCTGTCTCCTGCTCCCAGAATACATCAAGAATCAGACATTTGGAAGCTGCATCAGAACTAATTTCTAGAGGCTGATAATTAGGATAATTGTTCAGTCAGTAAAGTAGCATTAAACTGATAAGGAGTACTCAAGTCGGCTTCTCAAGGCCTTATATCCCAGTTTCCTGGGATTGATTATACACATCCTTTTACATATTCAACAATGTCAATATTAAAGATAAATATTTGAGTCTAAGACATTCAATTTATAACTCATGCCATAAGTTTCCTCTTCTAAACTATCAAAAACATTAATAACCAAGAGAAAAGAATCTGGCAAAGAAAAAAAGAGGCAAAATCAGATCATTTTGACAATGATCTGGCTGGCAATGTGCCCAATGTCTTTACAAAAGATAAAGAAGAAAAGTCAGGTACTCAAACATTATGATAATCAGGTTTCATGATTTCGTATGCTAACGTTCTTTAGAAAATATTAACTTTCTGAGTTTTTAGAGCCAAAAAGGGAAAAAGGAGTAATCTTTACCAGCTTTGTTCGGTTTGATGCTTCATGAGAACTACTTAAGCTATCTTCCTCAACTCCTTTCTTATCAGGAAAGCTGCCATGGCACAAGAAAAAGCACAAAAATCAATAGATGTAATTTGGAGATGACAGTATTTGAAGACTGCCATTGCTCTTCTTGGCCACTTCATAATTTTTTTTTTAACAAACCAAAACTATAATATATCACTTATTTTCATACCAAAGAAGAACAAAACCAGTGGTATTACAATTACCTTCCACCACCAACAATGGTCAGCTTAGCTATCATTTTTTCCCCAAAACCCATTCCAGAACGCTTCTCAATTACTTACACAGTACAATATCAGCTATTATTTTATTAATTAAAAGCATCATCAGAAAAAAATGGAAAATTTTTAGAAGAAATAAAAAATTAAGAGAGGAAAACCCAGAATAGTTATGCCTAAAAGCCCATATTAAACCATTTCCATTATATAAAAGCCATCCCCACCATTGCTCTTTCTTGCAAATCAGAATTTGATCTGGATCATAAATCCTTCATAACCGAAAGAAAAACTTGGTAAATGAAGCCAAAATAATGTTAATGAGTCTGAGAGGTATGTGTTGTCCTGGTTGTTTCTCATAAAACACACAATACAGTAGGCTCAGTAGCTGTACATGCTCAAATTTCCATTTAGACCAATAACCCACCCCAGAAGTCTTCCCAGATAAAGGAAACTATCAGATGAAGATATGCAATAACTCAAACCAGTATAAAAGAATAGTTGCAAACTAAGAAAAGAATAAAACAGCTACCTCTTTGAACGCTTGTGTCTAGTAGTCACTCTCAGTCCCAGCATTTTATTGTCTCCACTCCCTTCACAATTCAAACCCGAAGGACTTTTAGTAAAGAAAATACATTTTCAGAAAACAATGAAGAAAAAAATAACAGCAACAACTTACTGGAAGAAAACCAGGACTATCTCAGGTAGGAATTTCAAAAAATGAAAGAGAGAAGTACTCCGGACGAGCAAATGGGATTTACAGAGATCACTCTATACTCTATAGGCTCTAATTTAATGTTCACTTGTCTTCTTGCTTTGGAGTAGAGCAGAAGTTTGCAGGAAGTGGCCAGAAAGAGATAATTTTCTGCGAACATAAAGAGTCTGAACAAAGCAGTAGTACTATAGTTGCATTAGCATAAACCCACCAAATGCGGCTAACAAAGGATTAGACTTTTGGCTTTTGACCATTGAGCCTTCTCTTTGAAGTGATGATTCTGTAATAGCTTTTGTAATGAACGGAAAGCTTTTGCATTAAAAGAAGTTATTCCAGCCCGTGGGCTTTAGTACTTTAATTGAAGAAGAAAGTTTTCCTCAATCAACTGTCAAGTTGATGAAAGTCGACCCCTTAATGTCAACATGTACAAAAGCGGTCAATTTTCACACAACCATAAGAGGAAGATAAATAAACAGTAACAGTTAAGAGTGAAAGATATATATATATATATATATATAAACTAAGAGGGCAAATTTCCACATTCTCTTCTGTTGTTGGGAAGCAAATGGTGGGAGTTGGTGACCGCCTCTCCACCTTTGTCCTATACTGGTATACTACTTATGTTCCTGAATTCGTCTCTAGTGTAGTGTACCTTTGCATTATCTTTTATTTTACATAATAAACCCTATAAATGACCTTATATTTTCGTTATACCTATGAATGTTACATCAGTTCTAATTTAATGGGCAATTCGCTTGGTGACGTTTGGGGGTGATTCGTTATATTTTTCAGGTCAACTCCATTTCATAAGAGACAGTATAGGTAGTTTGAGATTTATATTATGTTTAAGGAGAAAATGAAGGTCAACTTTGTAGGAGCTGATCTCACTTCAGACATTATATTAAATTCTATTATAACATATATTTCATTGCCATTTGCCAACCAAAGCAGGCAAGTGAGATTACATTAACAAGCAATATTGCTGTAATACGGTTCAGTTGAAGTTAGAAGTTATACAATTAGAAGATTCTTCTTTACTCGAATGATTAAAAAATGTTTAATCTGATCTAAAGTAAGGGTTAGGTTGATTTGTTGTATCAGAATATTTCAGCATTTAAGCTGCTACTTCAGCATTTTCAACTGACCCACATCAACATTGTGGCAGATAAATTATATAAAGCATGTTGGAGTTGATTAATACTTTTTAACTCTGTGAACCAATTACCTCTAAAAATGAAAATGGAATTTCCATAGAGTTGTTATTTCTGTCTCCAGAAAAGAGGTGATTGGATGAGTGACTTCACCAAATCTACATTCCCTTATGACTAAAAAGTCTTTTAAGGTGAGTCCATACAAATATAACGGACTAAAATTAATATGCAAGAATGTTTTACCACAAATATAAACTTGATAAAAGCTCTTAGGTTAAAACAAAAGCAAGCAAAGTGACCTAAAAAGGGATGAAAGTTGAAGGGTAAAAGAAACATTGGATACTTAAAAGGAGATGAAGTTTTTGTGGGGTTTCTATTTGTCTAATCTCTTTTTAGAAAATAGGCTTTAGGCAGATACCCAATATTGTCATTCAGCGTTCAAGCCAATAACGTTTGTCACAGAATCCACACAATAAACAATGCTTGTCACTTCCCCAAGACCGATGCAAAAGAAAAGGTAAAGCTGTGTGGCGACTGGTTAAGGGGCCTCTCCTTTTGTCATCATACTCTCACCTACTGAGGAAAAACGTTTCCTTTTCCACTGCTGCAACAAAGAGAGAGAGAAGTTGATCACTGACTCCCAACTTATTTTAACAATTCTATAATGGTAACCTTTTATATCGAGATGCTGAAAAATCCAAAAGCTAACTCTAATCATACAAAATTATCAAGCATAGACTAAAAGTACTGTACTGAAGATGGTTTATATGAAATGGAAATAATGGTATTTCGTTAAACAACTGGCTCTTGCTAGTCCTGAGTCCTGACAATTGCTATATGATAAGATGTAAAATACCCTTTCACAGACTTTAGCCTATATGAATGTGACTAACATAATTAGCGCATTTCATTTGGTGTTTTGTGGCATTGTTTATAGATTATTCATTTAAGGAGACAGAGCAAGACTCTATTTTTTGGACTCATCTGATAGTTTAAGCTCCATCACCAGAAGTGAGATTTCTAGTCCCAATAAATAAACAAATGAAACTTCTATTTTATCTTATTACCAAGATTATGCACAAGTCAGTTTCTCAATGCCAAAAATGTAGGAATATCGAGAAAAATAAGTAATTTATTCAATTTTTTGAAATCAAATTTTTTCAAATGAATCTGACAGACATCCTTCATGGTTTATGAAATTATCACCCGAGTTGTATTAATTACATTCTTTAATTGTGGATAACAAAAAATAACATCCCCCATTACAATGATCTAAAATACACAAAGATCCATGGTACTGAGATTTTTCTCGAAAAGGTGTCAGTTTTATAAACACAAGATTAGGTTAGATACCCTCATACCCATGTGTTTGAATGAATTTTAAATCTGGAAAAATAGCTATGCCTACTTTTAAAAAACTTTTTAGACAGTTAAACAATGGCAGGATCCCATGGGGGACCCTGACAAGTTTATAATCTCGAATGAAAATTTTTAAACTTTGATCTCCCCATTGCTAATTCAAGGAACACTTAAAAGAATCTAGCCAAGCTAAACAAGGTTCCTAATATCTGTGGTTGCAGTTCTCAAGAAATCATGCACAGTATTAAAATAAAATTGTGTATGAAGACAAATTAGAAGTGAAAATATACAGTGTGTCAACTGTAATGGAAGCTTGCAACACTCTGAAACCAGTTTTGGATGAAACTGCTAATTTTGTCCTTGTTTTTGTTGTTTTGACTACTATGTAGTACATTTTTTTTTTTTTTTTTTGGAAGGAAACAATCAACGGTTTAAATATAATCTGGTTCGAACTTATTAGACGTGAATTATCAGAACAAAATTGTTGCTTTCAGTATTAACTCCAGAAAAATATACTATATAAAACAAATTGTTTGTCTTTATAGCTTTGGATATAAATGAAGAAAGAACAATTTTTTTTACAATTCAAATGTGTTCTGATGCGCTCAAATAAAAGCCTGCAGCTTAACCATCTACTTTACTCTGATACAGAAGAAGAAAAGGTCAATCATAGTAAGTGCCCAGTTGATCACTTGATTGTTTAAACTTTCAAAATGTGAAACAGCATCTGTGATACGTAATCTGATGCCTCCCTCACGAGTTGAGGAACCAAGCTTTGCCTGGAGAGTTGGCAAAAACTACGACATCCAGAAAACATGTGGGTTAGAATTGTAGATTGAGTGATGGTTGTGAGCAATTGAGAAAGGGCAATAGTGGGGTAGTGGGGGTGGGAGTGTTACACTTACAATGTTGTTGTTACAGTAGTAGTTTAGTTTTGGTTTTGGTTTTGGTTTTGGGTATGGGTTTGGGTTTGGACAAGGCGTAGAATCTCACACTTGGGAACAAGAAAAAGCAACTTTCCAAAGACATTTGGACAAGTGAGTCAATGCCAATCATATCCAGCAAAAGGCATCTCTACTCTTTCCCACGTCTGTCCCCACTCAACCATTTCTCTTCTTTCTTCATGCCTCATCCAGATGAATGAATGGTCCACACTAATTATTTATTTGTCACTAACAAGACCAATTTTTTGTTCGATATCCAAGATGTCTGAACCAGTTTATACGTACCTTAACTAATCTCTGAAATCCATTGAATGTCCTACAAGCCCAAGAGACTAGATAAGTCATAATGTTATAGTGGTAGATGGTCCTAAGTTTTGAACTCTCAAACTCAAAGAATGAAGCAAACCTCCTTAACCGTCAGGTCAATCCTTGAGGTTAACAATACCAATATTACTCATCTATAAAGCAACAATTAATGTTTCTAATTTCTCCATGAGGTCCTCTGGTATTCACTACCCCTAGTCCCATTATTGAACAACAACATAATCACTCCAATGGTTGTTTTGAAATGTCAAAGCCATGGGTCCTTTCATTGCTCTAATAAACAAATTAAGTACACTGTAATGTTGCTAGGCAATAAAGTTTTGTTACAGAAAACAGAAATATATGTGGGTTGTAAAGGTAATTATAATTATATATGTTTTCCATTCAAAGGCTGAGGCCTGCAGGCTTTTTATCTTCAACCTCTCCAACTAAAGCACCAATCTAACCATCAGTCAAGGGAAAAAGCACCTCTAACATTCTCCTTCTTTTTCCTTTTTCCTTTTCAACCACACTAAAAAAATATAGCATCGATTTGATTAAAGTAATGATAGATGCTATTAGAAAAATTTACCTAATGAAATTATGGTGAATAAGAAATATGAAATTATGGTGAATAAGAACTTGGGTTTCGAGTCCCCTTGATTACTAATAGGGGAGCCACTGAAGCTCTTACTCAGTCAATAATTTTAAGGTCCCGAAAGATTAGTTGAAGTGTACGCAAACTAGTCCGAACACTTCCGGTAAAAAATAAAATAAATAAATTCTTGGGTTGCACTATACACATCATCTACACAACAATGTAACATAAAAGAGTGTAAGAAAGAATGAATGAATGGGTATGCACATCCTATATTATAAGACTTTTACATGCTTAATAGTTTGTGCTATCTCAGGCCGAGAAAACTACTTTCATACAATCATTCTACAGACCACTAAATCTAATTGACCCATTTAGGCTTTTAATGAAAATAGACCTGCTCCAACAAACAACACTTAAAAATGGAGTGGATTTATCAGCTTCTGAAATGAACTTGGTAAAGAAGCATTGTTGGGCTGAAAGTCAAAGTCAATTTGACCTATCCTCGTTGCTGCCCATGCCAACCCGGTTTAATTTGACCCCCACTAATTGTCTTATTAAACTCCATTCAATCTTTCTACTTCCTTAAATAAAATTACAATAAAAGTTTTAATTTGATTGTTGAAAAGTATTTCTAAAAAAAAAAAATCTTGATTTCAAATACCTATTAACTTTAGTGTAGTATAATGTACATTGGATAATAAACCCTGCAATTTCAATTTTCATTATACTGACAATTTTCTGCGTTGGTATCGAAATTGAATTGGTATTTAATTTCTTCTCACAACATTTTAGTAATCTTATCTAAGAACTGATTTCGAAATATCTTCATGTTTGTTATTCAACAACTAAAATGTTTCCATCTCCTCTTCCATGGTGATCTAGTATTTAGATAGAAAATAAGATATGGATGATTGAATCAATATTTAATTCCTTCTCACTAGTATGAATGAAGAAGTTAGTATGAATAGGAATCATAAGAGAAACATGATTTAGAATTCTACGAGTTTTAACAGTAATAGGGTTAGATATGGATCAAAGACCAAAAAGAACGTTATAACTTCTAGTAATATTGATTTAGGATATGCATTTAATTTTTTAATTTTTTTTTTTAAATAAAAGAAAAAAGAGATGTCGAGAACAGTTATATATCTCTTTGTTGGGTCATATTGATAAAAATAATCAATAATAATAAGAGTTAACGACTTTCTCCCGCCCAAATAATGGCTTAATGACACTTGGGAACCCACAGATTTTTAAAATTTCATTTTATTATCCAAATTTATATTCTGATGACAAACAGAGAGCAAACTCGTCTAGATTGTTGGAGCTTTTGAAGAGGAGAGGCCGAGGAGTCTTTTAGTGGTGTAAGGTTGTCTTATTATGCTGTCTTCAGTCACATGGTAGGTGGGTTCCTAAAGGTATTGTCTGCTTTGGGCCACATGTTGGATTGTTGGTAGGCCCACACAATTTTGTTTTGAAAAGGCCCCTCTGAGTGGTGAGAGTGTTCTTATACTATATAAGCAACCAAGGTCCTCGTCTCCTAGTTGATGTGGGAGTTTGACATCAACACAACTCCCTAGACAAGGGGCTTGGGAGGTTTGGCGTGGGTACAAACTGGCACACTTAGCCTAGGTAAACCCAGACCCTCCTTCTAGCGCCAACTATTATTATGCCGTCTCCAGTCACATGGTAGGTAGGTTCCCAGAGGTATTGTCTGCTTTGGGCCACAGGTTGGACTGCTGGTAGATTTGCACAATTTTGTCCTGAAAAGGCGCCTCTGGGTGGTGAGGGTGTCCTTGTGCTATATAAGCGACCAAGGTTCTCATCTCTTAGCCAATGTGAGAGTTTGACATCAACAGATTGGATTTTGGTAGTTAGGATTGCTCGGAATTTAACTTGCGAAAAGTATCTACGCAAAGCAGCAAATCCTAATTATTTGATTGTCGACGATTGACTGGGTTAGGGAGTAGGGTTTGAGAGGTTTTGGTGAGTAATAATCGAGGAAGAGAATGGTGGTAGTATAGGGTCGCAATAATGTCGAAATCGGAAGCGGAATATAAATTTGGATAGCAAAATGATATTTTAAAAGTCTGTGGATAAGAAAGTGTCATTAAACCATTATTTAGGTGGAAAAAAATCGTTTACTCATAATAATAAATCTTCCTCATTCTTATCTATCAAAATAAATGAAAAAAAATTGAGTTAAAAAGATATCAAAAGTCATTTTCTTCTTTTCGATATTGGCAAATACATAAATATAATTTTTCTCATAGGAACAGACTTGGGCTAACATCAGTCTCTCTCTCTCTTGGTCCAGTCCATAATAATAAATGATTATGAAACCCAAAAAAAAAGGATAAAGCAAATCACACCCAACTCGCTATCTCTGATATGTCCATGCCCACTCAAATTTTCACCATCCTATCTTCAATCTATTTTCGATAATTTATAATTTCAAAAAAAAAAAAAAAGAATTTTAGATTTGAAAAATAAAAAAAGTTTTTTAAGGCCAAAGCTAATTTGACTTTGAACGTAAAAGCAGTCCTTATGGTAAGTGACTGGGCCGAGATATAGGTGCAATTTGGTCCTAAAAGGTAAAAATACAGAAATCCGGGTTGGGCCTAATCAACTGCAATTGTCAGCTTTTACTCAGGTCTTGAGGTAGCCCAGAACCTAGAATTGAATGCAGTTATAGCATATATAGGGACTAGGACAAGACTAGCCATAATCCAAAAAAATTCTATTGACTAAGGGTGAAAACGGCTCAAGCTTGGCTCAGCATTGGGTCGGAGCTAAAATAACCTGAATAATTATTCGAGTCAAGTTTAATTACTGTATAATTCGATTCGAAAAGCTTGATTATATGAGTTTAAATTTAACCTTGAATTCTAATTTCAGATACCGAGTTCGAGTTTGACCTCGATTCCTTAACTCACTTCACTTTGTACTATAAATTGGACAAAAGAGGAACTAAGCCCTGAAATGAAGAGGTGAGATGGTTAGGGTGAGGTTCCTGGTTAGTGGAGGCAAAGCCAATGAAAGTAGACGAGGAAGAGACAAGACAGAGAGAAAAAAAAGGTTGAAAAAGAGTATTTCTAGTGTTTAGAGTAGCTGCTAAAACACTTACTTTTAACTGCAATCCAGGGCATCTCTTACTCTCTTCTTCACTTCATCATCAAACTTATGATCCATCGCTCTCCCATGCCTCTTGATGAACAGCCTGTCACCTCTTTCCTTATTTACACATGTCCATTTCTTAGCATATCTTCATCCCTTTGGACCACCTTGCCCACCTGGCTGTGGCCACCCTTTGCCGGCCTTGCCACGTGGACCCCTTTACTTGAATACTGAAAAAAAAACTAAGGACCACTACTCCCCCCCTCCCCATTGTGTTATACAGTTACACAAGTGCTATGTGCTGCTTTCAATAATTTCAGAGTCGTTTTCTGCATGGGGCCATCGCCATTCCCATTTCAATTGCCATGCCCTATTCTAAAGGCTCCAAAATCAAAAACACTCATTTTATTATATTTCTTTTTCTTACTTTCTCATCGTAACCTAGTTAATTTCCAACTCTTATCTACATGGCTTATAATAAAGTTAAAAATAAAAGTAAAGTAAAATTATCTCGAACATGGTGGAGCCATGGTAGCTACATGAGAATGTTGGTCCCTTTACTAAAATGAAAACATATGAGAGAGGATAGTGACCCACTCCACGAAGACATAGCTGTTTCCTTCCCAAGTCCCAAGAGCTAGCAACCATCATTGTAAATTCAATTAATTACATTTATGTCTCACTTTAGATGAGTAAATTACTTTTTCCCGCCCAAAAAAATTTAAAATACCACTTTCTCACCCAATGTTTATATTCTATTAATCCTAAAATATACTTCACTTTCTCAGCCGACGTTCGATGAGTTACTAGACGCTAGGGTAAAAGGGTTTTTTTAGAATGGAGGCTAGTGGATTGAATGGTGGTTACTGATTGAATATTTGCTCTCAAAGTCAACTAGAAATCAGCTAAAAACATGAAATTTTAGCTTTTCGATGGTCGGTAATCAACAAGAAATCAGGGACCGGAGTGAGAGGGACTTTGTAGAGAGGAGACTAAAGATTCAATTGATGATGACGGAGAGAATTTTTGAGACCGGAATTAACTTTGCGTAGTAACGGAATATTAACTTTGGGTGCGAAAGTGGTATTTTGAAACTTTTTGGGTGGGGAAATGTAACTAAGGCAAACCTTAGGTGGGAAAAAGTCGTTTACTCTAATTTATATATTAGAGTAGTGTACCCTTGTGATATATTGTTGTGAACATGTGTCGGAGGTATGTGTTTGGCTTTTTTTACTAGAGTTGTATCAAATGACAAACACAGCGTTTCGAATCTTTTTGTTTCTTATAAGAAGAGAACCAAATCAATATCATCTAATCCTTCAAT